GTATTTCCCCCTCTCTATCTTGTTGAGATGAATTGAGTTTTCCCTTTGATTTCACTTTTATCAGATTGTATACTTTTATGGATCTGAGAACACTTGTATGTCTTGCTATGAATACCCGTGGTAATAATGGAGTATCATATTGATTCACTTGATGTGTGTTTTGGCAATCAACTTGCAGATTCCCGAGATGACATTGGGATAATCTATGCATAGGGTTTGATGCACGTTCTCGTTTTTGTTTCTCCGGTAAAAATCTTGGGGCACTCTTTGAGGTTCTTTGTGTTGGATTGAGTATTGTGAATCTGAAATTGTTTGATGTATATCGTATAATCAACTCACGGATACTCACGATGACATTGAAGTATCTAGGTGACATTAGAGTTGGTTGATGTGTATCATATGGTGTTATTTTAGTGCGAACTCTTAGATAGATTGATCGGAAAGGATAACTTGGTGTTATTTTAGTACGAACTCTTGGATAGATCGACCGGAAAGGATAATTTTGAGGCGGTTTCGTACTCTACAAACAATTTCTTCTTATGTTCTCCGCTAGATAACAACTTTGGAGTGATTCCTCATCGCACATTGAGGGATGGTTATATGATCCAATTATATTAGCATTGTTGAGAGATTGCACTAGAGAAAGTACGGACCCTAGCTAGGCCTCATTTTCAAGCATTGCAATACCGTTTGTGCTCACTTTTGTTACTTGCTACCTTATTTTTTTGTTGTTCCAATTACAAAAATCAATATCTACTATCCATATTGCACTTGTATCACCATCTCTTCGTCGAACTAGTGCACCTATACAATTTACCATTGTATTTGTTGTGTTGGGAACACAATAGACTCTTTGCTATTTGGTTGCAGGGTTGTTTGAGAGAGACTATATTCATCCTATGCCTCCCATGGATTGATAAACCTTAGGTCATCCACTTGAGGGAAAATTGCTATTATCCTACAAAACTCTACGCCGGAGGCCCAACACGAGTCTACAAGAATAAAGTTGCATAGTAGACATCAATCGTCATGCAAAGGTCTGAATCCTTTTACTCCAGATTATGAAGACCCGGTCGTATTTGTGAAGAATGAGCTAAGAACTACAGGGGAAGCGGCTCAGTATCAACATACCACCTACCCGTCTTATCAATGACAATCAGCCGTTTGGATGAGGCCATTCTAAGGGTTGTTTTGGATTGGTATCTGCTCTCTTCCCACGGAGTTCTTATCCCCATGACCAGTATTAGTAGAGGCAAGACCAGTAAGCATCAAGCAAACCAAGAAATAAAAGTTGGTAAAGATGGCACAAACAAAAGACGAAAGGAACTTGGTTGATGAACTGACATACATGAGGCCTTTAAATAGCTATTTTTCTATAGATACTGGGATCGGAAAATGGTAGTGGATGTGGACGCTAAACACGTGGCACGAAATGCTCGTTTAACGGACGGAGTCATACCACCGCCTCCTCCTGCAAACGAGTAAGTTCTAAGCTTTATCGATCTTCTCTGGCTCATGAAACTCTGGTCTAATGCCTGCCTTTAGAAAGGACATGTTTCTTCCTATTATTCATATCTGCTAGGGGTATGAAGGAGAAGGATACCAGATGTGTTAAGCTAGTTGGTAAGAGTTCTTATCATTATTGATAGTGGCCCTAGAGAAAGAGCTTACACTGATTGTTCTAACTTCATTCATGTTTCATTCTGCAACTGAGACATTTTCCCACATTTGTGCGAGGAGGGCAAGCGATCAAAGCAGAATGGGTTCTCGCTTCTCTGTCTGGAAGGACATCAGATGCACCAAATCCTATCGATCTTTCCGTATGACTCGACTTTATAAAAAGACCGCAGAGGGCTAAAGGCGGTATCTTTAGTCTACCCAACTCCCTTGATGCATATTTCCATTTATATAGTCATTCCATGGGGCCACAAGCACCATCAATTGCATTATTCCCAGTACCACACATCACTCCAATCAGAATAATCGGGAATGCTGGTTGGAAAGACAGAGAAATAGAATAATGAGAATCATATGGTCTTGTTGGGAAGATAAACGAAGAAAGCTCTAAGGTTTCCCTTCCTGCATTCAGAGCTTATCAATTCGTCCCACACTATATATTTAAGCAAAGCTATCTATAAATCAATCATATCTTTTATATGCAAGGTAGTGGGCTTTCACCCGTACTCGCCCTTCCAATTCACACATACTAAATTAGGCTGAGTGTATGCGCGCATGAAAACAAATAGAAAACGAGTGAGCACTTTCTTTCTATAGATAACGGTCAAGTCTGCGATCCAAATAGTGATGAAAAGAATTATCAAATCATTCGCAGATGGACGTGAAAGAAGGAAGAACCAAATGGCGCTACTTCCTCAAAGCGAGCTTAGGGTACCTAATCAAGGGACTAATGAAACACCAGTACATGTCATATAGAAGCTCAACTCATCCCTCCGCCAGCCCAACCTAAGTTTCTATTGGACTGAGCTATTCTTCAATCTAGTGCCCTAATCCTTTCGAAATTGGGTCCAGAAAATAATGCTATTGTACAACCTGTGGAAGTCAAAGCACATTTTAAGTGGGACGCATGGGTCGGCCCTTTCACCTCATTCTTTTCTGCTTCCACGCTCTGAAACCGGGTTCTTTCACTTCAATCTCTCTCATAATCAAGTTGAGATATGATGTTGTTTCATCCTAGAATTATGAGAAATCCCTTGTTGGCTGGGACGGGCCCTTAGTATAAGATAAGTCAACACAACAGGTTGTGTCAGATTCTCAAAAGACATGGGCTCGCCTTTCGGGGTGACTAGCTGCATTCATTTGTTTGCTTTCTTCCACCAACTTCACAACCATCCTTCGTTGATAATAGGCAAGCTCAACCACAGTTTTCGTAGTTTGGTTCAATTCATTCGGCATTTCCATTTCCAATTGGGAAGTTATATTTTCTCCGACCCAAGGAAGAAGATCACAAGCGGGAGTCCCTACTAGAAAGAGATGCTTTCCAAAGGTCGCACGCTACTGTTGAATGGCCAAATAGGGATTGAAACAGACTAAATAACTAGAGTATTCCGTCGTAGTGGTAGCTACATTTACGCGACTGGATCCGAGCCATGGGACAAGACCAAATTGGATTGGATTTGTCACATCAGCGGATGGAAGACTGTAGATTTCTCACTTTACCAACTCGGAGAGCACGTGTATGTAATCTGCCTGTATCTACTTATTTATTCGGAGAGGGCCATTAGTAGGATTCAGAAGTTGGACAAGCTATGGCGGAGCCGTTTACCAATGCACCCAGTTCTCCTCATATTTGATTCTTTTTTTGGTATCATTGGTTCCACGTACGTCTTTTGTGTGAGCTTTCTTCACTGTCATCAAAACAACGCTCAAATTGAACCTTTTCGAGCAGTTGTTTATTTCATCCGAGCCAAGAGATGTTGAGAGCATGAATTCAATACTATAAAGCACGTCTAAACATAATAAAAAAAATACATCATGGTTCTTGGACCTGCAACGAGCCCACACCGAAGCCGGCCAATACTTTTCGTTGGGAAACAAATTTAGTAAGTCAAAAAAATCAACAAATTTAGCAATTCAGAAGAAAAAAAGTCAAAAAGATCTGAATTTTGTTTGGAACAAACTTGACTTTATTTTGTACTGTATAGAGAATTTCGTCAACAAAAAACCCATGTGGCCTTCTGGAAAAAAAATTGAAGGACAGAAAGTGTGAATAGTGACATGTATATAGTGGTGATTTTTTTCACCCGCAATACCAGGAAATCCGTTCCTTGACGAAACTTTTTACAGGAGTACAAACCCTTGATTATTGTTATCTTTCTTGTGCAGGATACAGTCTCTGTCTCATCGATCTTCCTCACCGGGCCCGTGGATGAAAAGAGGCGGCCACCGCTTCGACGCGTTGGCTCACCACCTGCGGCCGGCGCGCGCACTGCTCAGCGCACGCACCAGAATCGGTGGATGCGGCGGCCGTGCGGACGAAGCCGAAGCCGGCCGGAAAAGTCAGTTTGGACGACACTGACCCGCCATTGCTCAACTGAGGAGAAAGTCCGCCCGTCACTACCGGTTCCATGGCTGCCGGCCTCACTACGCAAACGCAACACGGATTCCACGCGTTTATGCGTGTGTGGAGCATGCGAACGCGACGTCGTTGGTGCAACTTTTTTGATCCTCAACTGAAAGAAAGGATATCGATCCATCCATCGTGTCTGTCCCGTCGTGCATGTTGCTTTCGTCTCATCTCTTTACTTTACCTTTGCTCCTAGCTAGTTGCTACTACACGATAATATATGCCTTCCTCTCATAGTGCATGCATGCTAGCCTAGCCAGGTCCGTGAAATGCAAACCGAGAAAAACTAGTCACACACAACACAAGTGGCTGTGTTTGGTTGAGCTGCAGATTCTGGAAAAGCTGCTGTGAAAAAGCTGCTGTGGAAAAGCTAGAAGCTGGAAAGTTGAGGTACCCCCAGCTTTGAAATTTATACTAGAGAGAAGCTACAGATTCTCAAAAGCTGCTTTGAACATTTACCCCTTTGGTTAGCTTTTGGTTTTTCAAAGCAGAAGTTGGTAAAAAAAGCTAAAGAAAGCAACTTAGTTTCTTCTCCAAAATCAAACCATACTCAACTCATCAATCATCTGTCCATCAACCAAGTCAAGAAAGAAAGAAAATGTTGCTCATCTGTCCTGTTAGCTTCAGAAACAACAAAGTAGTACCACGACATGCTTCTTAACTTGTGCTTTCTCATTTCTCTTTCCCCTTCTTGTTGTATAAATATATCCAATCGGAATAAATTGCTTCTTCAATTCAAAGCAATCTAAACCACCCCACCGGCCCGAAGAAAACACATGAGAAACTCGATCGACCCACCTGATAAAATCCTGGCCGATCGATCAGTCTCACAAATTAATTACGACGTGTCATGCACTCATGTCTACAGTAGCGTATGATATGTATCTACCTAGCAGGCTAGCAGAGCTTAATCAAGCTAGCAGAGGAGTGTGATGGCGACGAGCAATAGGAGCGGGATGGCCGTCGCCGTCGTCGTCTTCCCGGGCGACCTGGTATTGGTGTAGGCCGCCGCGGGGGAGGCGGAGGAGGTGTCGGGCTCTGAGAGGGAGCTGAGGCTGAACCGCGGGTTGGAGCCGTAGAGCGCCTGCACGCCGCGGACGTCGTCCAGGGTCAGCTCCGTCTTCCTGGTCCGCGGCTTGAGGCTCGGGTACATGATGGCGTCCGGGACGGACGAGTGCGCCAGGCCAAGAACGTGGCCGATCTCGTGCGTGGCCACCGACTCGAGGTCCACGGCGCCGGCGTCCGCGTCGGCCATGTCTCCGACGGCCCAGCGCTCGGCGGCGTCGAGGTGCAGCTGGCCGCTGGGCGGGGAGAAGGCGTGGCCGAGCACGCCGAGGGGCCCGTCGAAGGGCTCGCCGTCGCCGTGGTCGCCGGCGAGGAACCCCACGCGCACGTCCGCCATGTTGTAGTCGCGCGTCTCGCGGAACCGCACCGGGATGACGCGCGCCCAGCGCGCGAAGGCGCGGCGGAAGGCCCTGCGCACGGCCTTGCGCGGGAGGGGGAGCGGCTGGTAGGGCGGCGAGGAGGAGACGACGGCGTAGGTGAGCAGGAAGTGGCCCGGCTGGCGCGCCCAGCGCGGCTGGCCCTCGAAGAAGGCGAAGCGGGCGGTGGCGTTCGGTTGGAGGTGCAGGTCCGGGACGCCGCAGCGCGGGGTGGCGAGGAGGTCGAGGGTGCGGTTGTCGAGGCGGCCGGTGACGGGGAGGCCGAGGGTGGACTGGTAGAGCCTCACCACGAGCTGGCCGTCGGCGTCGTCAGGGACGGAGGCGTAGCCGAAGCGCGCGAGGTAGCGCCTGAGGCCGTCGGTGACGTTGGCGCCGTCGCCGGCCTGGACCTGGAGCATGTCCGCGAGAGAGGAGGAGGAGGAGGAGTTGGCGCCGGCGTGGAGGAGGAGGTGGCGGGAGCAGCCGGTGCAGCATGGCGGAAACAGGAGGAGGAGGAGGTGCAAGAAGAAGAAGGGGAGGGGGAGGGGGAGAGCAGAGGAGGAGGACATGGGCGCGCGCGCATGCGTGCGTGTATGGGTGGACTGGCCGGACTCCCACTTTGACTGCAGATTTGCATATAAAGAAGAGGAGAAGGAGGAGGAATGTCGAGTCGAGGGTCTACTTGTGTTGGGCCAAGCCGCACAAACCAGTAGACAAATAATAATGCTTGGGAAAAGGAGCAAGAGAATATGGACATGGGGTGTCCGTTGATTGGAGCTTGCTGCGTGTCCTCTCCTCTTCTCAGACGGAGCTTTCACTTTGAGCTTGAGCTTGGTGGCCACCTGCTGTGCCATCTATCTTTTTTTTCCTGGCACCTGCTGACCTGCGCTGCGCCCTCGATCAATCATGCATCCGATTAAGAGATGCTGCAGGCAGACAACATCCATCAGCAGACCAAAGCGGCATTTGTGCCGCCTGCCCAGCCCTATGAAGCTGATGCCTGGTCTCCTCTCTTTGGTCTTTGGAGTATGGATGTGTCCTACTCCTTCCTACCCTGCTCTTCATCTCCTTGGTCTTCATTCAGCTAAAAACTTGCTTTCTCAGCACACACAAAGCAATCTACTCCCCAGACAATTAGCATGGCCCGTCCAAGCCCAACCTTGGCGCCGTCGCCGTCCCGGAGCATGTCGGTGACCGTCAAGGAGGAGTTGCCGCCCGCCGTGGAGAAGAAGAGGAAGAAAAGAAGAAATGGGCTTGGAACTTACGCCTGTCCTCTCCTCTGCTCTGCTCCCATAGTTCGTTGCCACCTGCGCTGCGTGAGTCCGCATCCGGTTGAGAGATGATGCTGCACTGCAGACGACATCACTGTCATCATCAGCATCACTATGGTGTCTGCACACTGAAATCGAAATATATACTCCTCTAGCTAATACGTATCTTAGCACTATCTTTCTGAAGCCGATGGATGGTCGATCGGTCTTATTTGGACGGACACGCCTCAACCCTGACAGCTGATTCTGTGGGGATTTGCTTTATTTCACTAACAAGTACACCAATAAGTGTCCCACTTTATGTTCCTTTCATTGTTGACCTCTAATTCCTCCTCTCTCTTTTTTTACACAATGTCCCAACCATCACCCTTATATATCCCATGTAATATACGGGTACAATATTAAGTTTCTAGATAGACTTAGAAGTTGAGGGAACGACCTAAGCTTCTTTCTGCAGTTCCAAATTTGATCCAAAGCATTATGGAACGAAGGGAGTACTTTAGCTTCATCATACAATTAACCTTTTAGATATGCATGGTACCTCCCCACCACCCTTATATCTATCTAAGATACCTTACCTCACCAGACCAGACCAGACAGACACAGGTTTAGCCAAACAAACTCAGCCTCTTTCCGCAGCTTGTTCCCTCGTACTTTTGTTGTTTCATAAAAGCCAAAACAAAACAAGATAAAATAGTACCATCTTGAGGTGAGCCAACTTTCTCAGCAAACAGAAAGGGAACTCGTTACTACAGTTGCATTGGAGGGCTCGAGGCAATCAATATGACCCCCGTCCCAGTGTCCCACCCACCCCAATCTTGACTCGTCCCTTCTTTCTTTCTCTCACAAATTCATCATCATATATAGACACACAGGCTACACATAGAATTTCTCAACATCTAGGAGTACGTACCTATCCATAGAATGATGCCATGCCAGCTAGTAAAGCCTGAAACCTCGGAGACACTAGATAGGCTGGTCGTAATGATAGTATCATAACTAGTATCATACATGCCAACTAGACAATTTTGATGAGATAGCATAGCTTTAAATGAAGAAAGAAAAGGTGTAGTATCATATCATGATACCATATCATAATAAATGTTATGCTACTTTGTGTCATGCATGGCAATAAATAAAATATTATATGATACTAATATATGATGCTATGCATTAGGGAGGTAGTATCATACACTAGTATCATATACATGATATCAGTATATGATACTCCTCATTACAACCAGCCTAGCCTAGTAGGTGAGCAGGAAGTGGCCCGGCGGGCGCGCCCAGCGCGGCTGGCCCTCGAAGAAGGCGAAGCGGGCGGTGGCGTTCGGTTGGAGGTGCAGGTCCGGGACGCCGCAGCGCGGGGTGGCGAGGAGGTCGAGGGTGCGGTTGTCGAGGCGGCCGGTGACGGGGAGGCCGAGGGTGGACTGGTAGAGCCTCACCACGAGCTGGCCGTCGGCGTCGTCAGGGACGGACGCGTAGCCGAAGCGCGCCAGGTAGCGCCTGAGGCCGTCGGTGACGTCGCCGGCCTGGACCTGGAGCATGTCGGCGAGCGAGGTGGAATAGTTGGCGCCGGCATGGAAAAGGAGGTGCCGGGAGCAGCAGCGGCAGCATGGAGGGAACAGGAGGAGGAGGAGGAGGAAGAGGAAGGGGAGAGGGGAGGAGGAGGACATGGGCGCGCGCGCATGCTATGCGTGTATGGGTGGACTGGACTACTGGACTCCCACTTTGACTGCAGATTTGCATATAAAGAAGAAGAAAGAGGAGGAGGAGGAATGTCGAGGGTGTTGAGCCAAGCCGCACAACTAGTAGACAAAATAATACTGCTTGGAAAAAGGAGGAAGGGAAAATGGAATGGGGTGTCCGTTGTGTGGAGCTTGATGCGTGTCATCTCCTCTCCTCTCCTCTTCCTCAGACAGAGCTTTCACTTTCAGCTTGAGCTTGGTCGCCACCTGTACCATCTTTTTTCTGGCACCTGCTGCCGCTGCGTCCTCAATCATGCATGCATCCGATTAAGAGATGCTGCAGGCAGACAACATCGATCAGCATCAGCATCGGGAGGGGGCGCGCGTGCTTTGACCCCTCACTCCTACTTTTCTTTCGTTCAAGCCAAACCAAGGGTCTTCATTCATTCCGCTAAAACTTGCTTTCTCAGCACACACAAAGCAATCTAGCTACTCCACACAATTAACAACATGGCCCGTCCAAGCCCAACCTCGGCGCCGTCCCGGAGCATGTCGGTGATGGGGGAGTTGCCGCCCGCCGTGGAGAAGAAGAGGAAGAAAAGAAGAAATGCCCGTCCTCTCCTCTGCTCTGCTCCCATAGTTCGTTGCCACCTGACCTTTTGCACTATAGTATCTTGCACTATCTTCCTGAAACCGATGGATGGATGGTCGGTCTTGTTTGGACGGACACGGCTCAACCCTGCCTGCTGATATGATTCTGTTCTGTGCGCATTGTTTCCACTAACAAGTAGGAGTAGGTACGTACACCAATAAGTGTCCAATTTTATGTTCCTTTCATTGTTGACTCTAGTTCCTCCTTTTCCTACACAATGTCCCAACCCAACCATCACCCTTCTATATCCCATCAGACAAACAGACAAGTTCAGGGAACGACCTAGGCTTCTTTCTACATTAAGTGATCAGACCATTTAAAATGGGGAAACTAGCAGAGAACAGAACATGTACAAGCAGAGAGAGTTTAGTATGCCGCGACACATGAGTTGGTCGTTCCCAAATCAATTCCAATAACCTCATTTCCAATTGGCTTTGCACTGAGGAATAAAAGCAAACAAAAGAGTTAGTTAGATATGCACGCTGCAAGGATCTTCCCCAAATTTCATACTGTATACACCAAAAATAAGAAGGTTGTTACCTGAAAGTTCTTGCAAAAGTACCCCATCTGGAGCACACATTTGCAGCAGCATATGTTGATTGGACGTTGGCCATCAGCTGGTATGTAAACAATCAATTGTCAGAAAGTCACATCATTGACAATATTAAGCCCTAAAACATTTTGGTGTCCTGGTGGGCAGATCAATTCTCTGCACAAACAACAAACGGAACATATTCCAAACAGAAGAAAGATGCACATTAGTCAAAATACAGTACTAAACCCTGTTGTTATTAGCACATAATACACCAATGGGCATCGTCCGCTTACTATTGCGTCCTCTGTTTACCCCACTCATTTGCATGAAAAATTGTTCCAAGTGAATGACCGGTTGCTAATGAAAAACAATCATCCACTCCTAGAAGTCCATACTTGCATGTATAGAACAAATTCAGAGTCACCTCTACAGCAATACAAACACATAGTAATCCTGGACACTAGCGGTTAAGGGCATGTTTTTTTTCCAGAGAGGTAATAAGGCATACTACAAGGAGATGAGAAATCAAAATGGAAACATGGTAATACAGAAACCGTTCCCAGTAACTGACCATTTGGGTTAATTTAGAACATGGCATATGATCGAAGTACTAACAAACAACAGTCCATACTTGCATGTATATAGAACAAATTCAGAGTCACCTCTACAGCAACACAGAGACACAATCACTGGTGGGCAGTACCAGTAAAGGACATGCTTTTTTCAGAGGGTTAAACACATCATTGACAATAGTCAATATTAAGCTTGTGTAAGGTAAACAATCAATATTCAGAAATTCACATGATTGAAAATATTAAGGCCAAAATCATTTTAGTGGCTTAGTGGGCAGACGTATGCACAAAATGGGCGGCATTTTTCAAAAGAAATCACACATATCACAGTACCAATCCCTGTAAGTGCATAATACAACAATGGGTAAGCATACAGGATTGAGCGTCCTCTGTTTTACCCCACCCCACCCATGACCCACGGGCATGATAAATTGTTACAAGCCACTAATGGTTGGCTAATCTAGAACATGCACATGATTGCAGTGCATAGCTAGGAAACAAACACTTGCATCATGTGTAGAACAAAAACAGGGTCACCTCTACAGCAGCACTAGAGAGCCATGACCCATGATTCTTCTAGAGTGAAGTGCATCATAGGTCCTCGAACTATTTCAGAGGTGTTACATAGGTCCTCGAACTATGAAAGTCGTCATCTAGGTCCTCAAGGTGCAATATGTGTGCCATTCTGGTCCTCAAACTATTTCGAAGGTGTCACGTAGGTCCTTGAACTATTTCAGAGGTGTCACATATATACACACTTATTACACTTCAAGGATTTCTGAGGACTTATATGGCACTTTTCATAGTTTAAGGACCTATGTGACACCTTAAAAATAGTTCAAGGACCTAGGATGCACTTCACTCATTCTTCTACTACTAGGAGACAAGACATCGAAATGGAAACATGCAGTCCACACTTGGCATATGATCTAGGGTCAATCTAGAACATGGCATATGATCTCAGTACTAACAGACGACAGTCCACACTTGCATGCATGGAAGAATTTCACAGCACCTCTACAGCAATACATACAGAAATATATAATCACTGCTGGCCAATACCAGTAAAGGACATGCTTTTTCAGAGGGGCAATCACATGATTGACAATAGTCAAAATATTAAGCATGGGTGAGGTAAACAATTAATTAATAGTCAGGAAGTCAAATCATTGACATATTATTAAGCACTAACTAAAACATTTTGGTTGCTTAGTGGGCATATCTATTCTAAGCACAGAAAAGGGGGACATTTTTAATTTTGTTTGAATCAGATATATAAGAAAGATGCATATCATTCAGCAACCAGTACCAATGCTTGTAGGTGCATATTTACCACAGCAATAGGTAAGTATACAGACAGAGTTGTGCACTGCACTTACTAGTGTGTTCTCTGTTCACCCTTTGCACCCATGGGCATTTGAATTAAACTGAAACAAGCCACCGATTGTTGGCTAATCTAGAACATGGCATTTATATGATGGCAGTAGATACGAAACGAACATAATGTGTAGAACAAAATCGCGGTCATCTGGCCCTACAGCACTAGTAGCAAGAGAGCCATCCATAATAATTCTACTAGCTAGGAGACAACGCAAACACAGAGTCACACCGTTGACATATTATTAAGCACTAACTAAAACATTCTGGTGGCTTAGTGGGCGGATGTATGTATGCCCAAAAAGGGGGGCATTTCTCAATCGAACTGAAGGAAGACGCACAACATTCAGTAACCAGTACGTACAACAAATCCCTGTAGGTGCGTGCATGCATGCTGTAAGAATGAGTAATCATTAGCAAGCATTTCAGAGTTGTGCAGTTACTAGTGCGTCGTCCTCTGTTTACCCAACCCCACCGCACCCATGGGCATGAGAAAATCGTTACAAGCCACTGATCGTTTGCTAATCTACTTAGAACATAATATGGCACATGATGGCAGGCAGTACATATGAAACAAACAGGACACCACGCATGCAGCATGTATAAACAGAACAAAGTCAGTCGCCTCTACATCACTAGTACAGAGGCATGATTCTACCAGGAGACAGACAACACTTTAATATTTTTCAGAGGGGTAAAAAGGCATGCCCTTGGTGGAGATCGGGAATGCAAATCCGAAGGTAATTAAGCAGTTTGCAAATCATGAGATCGGGAACCATTTCGCAAACCCTCGGTGGAGACATCCGGGGGTGCATAATCCGACAGAGAACCATCGGATCCGACGAAATCCATCCGCGCATAAAAGGATGACGGGACGCGGGCACCAAAATCCACCGCACGCGCAACAGAGGATCATCACCATCACGACAAAAGAAAAAAAACACAGAGGCGACGGTACGGTACACTAGGGGAGGGCGGAGCTTACGGTGGCGAGCGGCGAGGCGAGGTCTCGGCGGTGCACGGCGCGGAGGAGCAGCGAGGCCGCCATGGTCTCTCTCTCTCTCTCCCTCTCTCTCTCTAGGGTTTTGGGGATTTGGGGTTTGGGAACTCTCTCTCTGTGTTTTTTGTGCGCAGCGCACCGCACTCACTCTCTCTCTGGAATGCTCTGGAACTCTCTCTCTCTCTAGAGAGGGCGGGAGCGTTGCCGCTCTAGAGAAGAGAGAGAGGGTGGAGCATCGTGGAAGGCTCTAGAACGCCCCACACAGTGGGCCGTGGAGGCTTTTTCTCCCTTATTAGTTAGGCTTGGGCCGCCACCGGCTCTCTCTCTCTCTCGGTTCACCCACACCAGGTAGAATGATCACTGACAATATAATTTGTGCTTATGAATGCTTACATTTTATGAAGAGGAACAGGTCTAGAAATAATAGCTATTGTGCTCTGAAGCTTGATATGATGAAAGCCTATGATAGGCTGGAGTGGTCTTACTTGAGGGCAATTATGGAGAAGTTGGGGTTTGCAGCAAATTGGATTGACACAGTCATGACTATGGTTTCTTCAGTCTCATTCTCAGTTTTGTTCAATGGAGAAAGACTCGAGCGTTTTTACCCTTCAAGAGGAATTCGGCAGGGAGATCCTATCTCACCTTACCTATTTTTTATTGCAGCAGAGGGCCTTTCGTGCCTCCTGAAATCCAGTTCACAGTCATCTTCACTTACAAGTATTAGAGTGGCACCAACGGCGCCAGCCGTAAACCACCTTTTATTTGCAGATGATAGCATGTTGCTTTTCAAGTCTAGTGTGGAGGATGCAGAAAGAGTTTCAAACCTACTGAACATATATTGCAATGCTTCGGGTCAGAGGATAAAT